TTCATGGGATATCACCTACATGAGTGTGAAAAGTGGCCGTTTCTATGAGAATTATAAGGCGGAATTCTCTAAAGCACTTAGGATTACCGGGAATTGTTTAGGGCCAAAATGAACACAATTGTAGAATCATATGTGTTTGGAGGAATACCATGTGAATATTATTGTCTTGGTTTACATCAACGGTTGAGCAGTTCAAGACATCGCATTCACTGATTAGCCAGTAAATCTGATAATATTTCACTAAGGAAGGTTCAAAGCCAAAAGCTACCTCTCCCCATACGGTATTTGTCCAATTAAACTCTCTAAGTATTTGCATCTTCATTTGCATTAAATTTTATTAATTTTCATTCATTTGAGGATTGTTAGAAATTTAATAATTTAAATATTAGTATTATTAATATTCAAATATTAAATATTCAAGTGAATGGAAATTAAAATAGAATAATGGGTTAGTCTTGAACTGGCTATTTATTAGCAGTCTACAATAGTTCTTTTTAGTCTTATTTTGTTATGAAAGTGGACATGGGTTTGACTGGTTCTTGTTTGAATTCAAACAAGAATATAACTATCATTTCGAAAGACGCATTGGTTAAAAAGGCACTGATACATGTGGGCACTGATACCAACTATCAGACGCCTCATTTTGTTCGAATCACTTGGAAATCGAAATAGTTTCCCCCAACCTTTTCACAAGGTTGGGAGATGACTGTTGAACAACGATTGCATCCTTTGCCTTTTGGAACTAGACACAACCTTTGAAAATGGGGGTCAAAGCCTATAAATAGACCACCAAGTCAAGCATTTTAGATATACTTTTGCATCCAAAAATCATATAGAAATTAGAGTGGTTTAGTGTTCAAGAAAGAGAGAGTTTTAAACACTTTTGGTTCCCTGTTCTTTGTGGATTGTAGTGCTACTTCCGCAAAGAGAAAGATCGTTGTATTGTGGGAGACATTTGCCAATGCAAACCTTGAGGCACCATTGAGGGGCAATCTTGTCTTAAGGCTATAGAATCAAATTCTAGCCTCGATCTCTTGAGGTTCTTCTATTCCTTGTTCTTCTTGCATTTGTAGAAATTTTATTGTGTATTATTTAATAGTTTATAATAAAATATATAACAGTTTTTTTCAAAGCTTTTTCCAACAAGAAATAAGTATTGGCTCTGTATAGAACCAAAGTATAGCTATGAAGATGGTGAAAGGGAGAGAAACTATGCAAGAGGCCTGCAAATGTATTCCTAACATCCTATAGTCCCTTGCTCCAAACCCCTAGCCTCACAAGGTTTCTAGAGCTCCACTTAAGCCAACCTAAACCAAGAAAAAATTAGACAAGAAAAATGTTTCAAGGGAAAGCACATAAATTCTCAAATGCATATACTTCCAAATTTTATAGCTACTAGAATATTTTTAAGAACATAAAGGCAAGGTTAAATGTCAACAAGACAGTTAACTTACCATAACAACAAAACCAGTAGTGGTTGCCCACACGTTAGCCAGTGTGGCTCCGGCAAGCTTGAGCTCACCAAGGTGACCGGCAAACATTATTGATATGAGACGAGTTAGGTGAAAGTATAGATTGGTCACAACGGAGGGTAATGCAATTAAGACCTGGTTCTTGGCCTCGTGGAAACGAGCCTCAGTTCCTTGTTCAGGATTTGATGAGATTAATGCAGCGGTAGAGTCTGTCATTTTGAGAGAGAGAGAGAGAGAGAGAGAGAGAGAGAGAGAGTAATAAAAACCAGAGGCCACGCCTGCTAGAACAGAGAAAACAGAGAGCACAAAGCAAAAGCAAAGATGAGAGAGAGAGGAGAGTGAGGAAGTGAGTGAGTCGGGCGTCGCAAGTTTTAGATCCTTTATTTATTTATTTTTATTTAACCATTGCTATAACAGTCTAACAGATGCTTTGTTATTTTTTATTTTATTTAATTGGGAATCAGTTTTAGCTCATTTTCTTTGCTTTATGAAAGCTAACCTTAATTTTCAAATGTGGGGTTAGTTTTTTTAGGCATTTTGTGTTGAACTTTTGTCTAATTCATTAAAGCTTAAGCCTTCTGCATTAAATAAAAATTTTAGAAAACATTCAATACTAAAAAATCATACAGCTATAAATTCAAGACTTTCAATACCATGTGACATTATAATCATATTTTTGTTTGTTCACGTACAATGGTGGTCCAATGTGGCAAAGTAGAAAACACACACTAAAATCATGGAATATGGGTGAATCAGTATGCAGTGCGATTTTTATTAGTATTTTTAAGGACCCTTTTTTCTTAGTGTTTATATCATTAATTTTATACTCTTATGCCAGTCTAAGCTTTTAAGCCGAGATGTGTACAGAAAATTATACAATTCTAATATATTGCTCATAGACTCACAGTAGATGCTAGATGGGTGCCATACGCTGCAAGAGGAAAAAAAATGAAAGGCCTAACCCTAAACCAACCTTTGAACAAGAACAACGGCAAAAATAGACGTCAAAAACATTTTTCAAGGAAAAAAAAATTAAATGGAAGAAGGGAACGAGAGAGTGGCAAACAAGAAGAAAAATAAAATAAAATAAAATAAAAAGAGTCCATAACAAATTAGCCATGTATAAAAATAATATTAATTATAGAAATAAGGAGATTACCCTAATCAAATTCGATGAATGATATTAACAGGGTTAGGGAGACCACATCACATTAGTGTATCATCATATGTGGCAAGTGATGCACACAATCAACATTCAATGAGATAAATTCATTAATTAACATGATATATACACATCACTTGCTACATTAAATGATACACAAACTTGGTAAAAAAAAGTTGTGTCCCTTGCATTTCCTAATACTAAATTTTTAATTGACATCTGAATTTAAAAAAGGTCATAAGTGAAAAGAAAAGCAAGAAATTTTAATTGTAAACAATTAATACATAAATTTAGGTATAAATAAAGTTCACATGGCATCCGAGTGAGAAAGGCAAGTAAGAAAAGTCTTTTTGAGGATATAGAAAAGGACATTTATCAAAATATTCCCATATAGATAGCTAGCTTTTAACTTTTTATAAGGGCGGGAATAATATGGTAGGTGGAGAGATTGGAAATGAGAGTGGGTGTAGCACCAGTCTAATTTTAAGAAGGATGGCAAAAAACTTTTGAAGGACACAATTCAATTTGTAAAGGATCCAAGTTCTGAGTGCAAGAACTTGGGTTGGATAGTTGTATCTTGCAAGATAGACATTTATAAACTACCACATTGCTGTGGAGGTGTCATTTCTATTTAGGAGATTGTTACTGCATGCCTTTATTTTCGAGAAAAACAAGTTAGAGAAATTGTCTTTATGTTGCCTTAAATTGCAAATGAAAAAGGAAACTTAATACTACTATAGGTCAATGGAATCTCCTTTCTGGGTTGGTTAGTTGTGAGGAAAACTCTCGTTGAATCTTTTTGATTGATCAAGAGGTACATATATACTAGTTAGTAACTCGCCTCCCATTTTACCACTTTGTGGTTAACTTCCCGTTCAGTTCATGAAATTTGATTCCAAGGAGAATTATTATTCAATATTCAGTGTGATAAGTCACACTCTAAGCAAGCTCAAAGGTCAAAAAGGTTACACTACAAAAAATATGGGCACTGCGCACAAAAACTTATTGTGCCCTATAAGGCCTAAGGACACAAACATAAGTGCCTTTAGAACAATAGCAACAATGCAATAACCAAAATCTTACGTGTGCCCAATATGGGCATTCCCTTTGTTTAAAGGGCAAAATACTAAGTTTTGTGCTCATGATGTCAGCACAAATAAAGCGTGTTTTGTGCCTCCGTTCTAACAAAGTTGCCAGATTACTTTCCCATCCATGTTAGCATATTTATTATTATTGTGCCCATTATGTAGACTATTTAAACAAAATTTAAAAACTATAAAAATCAAGAAAGGAAATGACCTACAAATATGCATAAGGGTACTTTTATTTAGACCCAACCAAACTCTTTCTACATCCAGCTACAAAAAACTTTCTCTGTAATTCCTATTTTACCCCTTATGCAAAATAAAATGAGAAAATGAAAATTAAATATCTTTCTACACCCATTCAACCGAGATAGTACCCACATGTTGCACCATCGCTCAACCGCCACTCCAGACCTCCCTCTTTCTTCTCCTGCATATAGAAGCTAGGTGGGACTGCAAAATATGCCATCCCCTTCAACAACCCGACCCAATACAAAATCCATTTGACTTTATTTTGGACTTCTACAACAAGTCACTTACGGAGTCAACAATGCCACTTAGTTTTGCCTCTTAACAGCAATGCCCTATCACGCGCAAGAGAAGAAAAATGGATTCACCGGACGTTTGGTGGAGTAGCCACCGTAGAGAATTGGTGGGTGTGGGAGAGGTGGGGGAAGACATCGAGAGTATTAGAAAAAAAATAGTCGGGAGGGAGACATACCCAACAAAGACAGGGAGGAGCCGCCAGAAGCAGAGAGAAAAGTCGGGAAATGGGTTTGATGAGTTTTTGTTTTTCCAGCTTATTTATGTTTATAATTTATGAGGGAAAAATAGAGAGTTTAGGTAACAAAACCACTGTTCTAAAAATCCCTGCCTAGCATTGCTTAGACCCTGTCTAGCACCTGGCCACCGCCCTGATTAATGCCTAGACGTTAGAAAATTAAGAAAGGGCGCCTAGACTTGATGAGACACTCACCTAGACCACCTAGGTACTAGCCTAGCCCATCCAAACCCGCCTAGGTTGTGACTCACTTAGACAAAAAGTAGATAACTTTCATCTTGCATTTTATTTTCCTCAATAAATTGTAAGAGACTTGTTGAATACTTAAATGAATACACATTATATGCTTGTTCCCCATGTTTTCATTACGTTCCAATATTTCATAATGTATTTGTCATTCTATTTTGTAGTTTATGATAAAATTTATATATTTTAAGTATAAACAGACACTTATTTACACGAAATATAATAGATTTATTTAAATCTACCTAGGTGCCTGCCTAAGCCCTGCCTAGCCACCTAGGTGCTAGACCCCAACTGGCTGCCCGACTAGCGCCTAGCGTCTTTTAGAGCCTTGAACAAAATATTAAGGTTGGGATTAGAAAGAATAAAAACCGGGTACAAATAAAATTTCTCTTTGCATAACTTATCTTTTACACAATTTTGTACAAATGTTGGACCCAAACCTTGAAAAGTCTTTGAACCCTTTGTTTCCAAGAGTTTAATAATCTCAAATCACTTGAATCATCATCAGCTGAACCCAAAATCAAACCCACAAAGTTCCTGAAAACATAAGAATGGTGTTAACTCAAGTTCAACAGTTAAAGTAATTAAAATTGAGTACAACACTGAGATCAAATAAATACCAGAGATAAAACACATGCTTACCTTCACCTGATTGAAGAAAATCACGGTAGATTCAGTTTTCTCATTTGCCTGAATAAGATAATATAAAACCAAGGTTAGGAAGCATAACACAGGGGAAAACTCTAAAATTTAGTATTCTCATTCCCCTCCACTACAGCCGCACCATCAACACTTCCAAAATCAGGGTTTAATGAAATTACTCAGTCTATTTATTTTTCTCATATAAGGGGGAGAGAGAAGATAGAACTAAACCCAAAAGGCGAAAGCCTTGACTAACAAAGATACATATTTGTTAAATATGTACAATTATAGCTCTCTACTCTTAAACAGCTCTGCTCAACCTCATTCCAGCTGCAAGTTATTTGATCTTACGCATTCTGCTTTTCCCTTATATAATAAATTGTGTAGATATCTGTTGAACAAACAATGTTTCATGTATATTATTTTTTCCCCGAATGACTGCAACCACGGTGATGTTATTGTTTTGCACTCGATGTTATGATATTATGATTCGCTGTCATGTTGGTATCTATACAAACCAAATTACTTATAAGGAAAAGAAATAACAATGTTACCTTGCCCCATCTTTTGAGTCCCATAGCTCAAGTTGATGACTGCCAAATGCAAAGAAGAGAAGATGCAAGTTATCACCTGTAAATAAACAGTATAAATCACAATAAACAACATAAGGTGGAAGGGACAACATTGGAGTAAAAGTATGTCATCTGCCATCTCAAGGGCCTAATCGGGTTGTCACTTGTCAGAGGAAATCCCGGCTCATGACCTGGGCTTGGAGCAAACCATATGCTTCTTGGTGTCAGACATCAAGGCTGATCCTCTGGTGTCATCACAGTCCAAGAGGCGCTCTGCTGCTGAATATTGAAATGGTTCATTTTCGAAACCGTTCCTTTTTCACAAAAGAACGCCTGTCTATAAACAACACAGCAACACCAAAGAAAAACACGAATGAGATAAACTTTACCATCAATCTTCTAGATCCAAGGATTAGGTAACATCGTAGTAAATTTCAAATTTACCAAAGCTTCTTTCTACAGAAAACTTGATTGACATCTTTAAAAAACAAGAGCCAATTCACCAATTTTCCATATATGAGTTGAAGAGTCAATTAATGACAAGAATTGTCTTTGTTTGTTCCTAAATTTCCCCTTTCTTATGATTTAGCTAATAATATTCATTATTAGGCTTTTGGGTGTTCATTTCGTAAAAGCTTGAACGATCTCTCAGTTGCGCTAAAAGATTTGTTCTATGCAGAGTTGAAGACGAAATGTGACTTTTAATGATACGGCTCTCATAACAATACAGGAAAGATGATGGTGATGGATAACTACTACAATCTTGGTGAGCGTGGGGAATCAATTAATCTATATATTTTGGTAGTTCGTTCCAATTTTTTTTCCTTTCCTTTCCGGTTATTGCTTCTATTTTGTATGATTAACTCTTGGTAGACTCTAGATAACAATGTAACATGGTTTGAAGAACCTCATTGATGTAATTTTTGACATGCTATTTTTCTCTTCAATCGGGGGTTGAAATCTCTGACAAGGTTTTTATTGAGACCCATTGTTAGCACTCTATCCTTAATATTTGTACATATTCCTTCATTATCAAAGAGTATAGTACTTCAACTAAAAAAAAGGGTCAAGGTTGCTCCAATAAGTAACCACTTTTGTAGAACACTGCACCTACATGAGTCATATGATAAATTAGGTTCTCATCCCTCAATTTTTTTCTTTTTTGATCAAGGCTAGGTACTTTGACTTTGTCCACGCCATTATTGATTATTAAATGACGTGTAAGCATATTTCAATTTTAAAGTTAAACACTAATTTGTTCATTTCTAAATATATCCTTGTATTATTTTCCATATAATGTCTTCCCACAATTTTATTTAAGAAAATAAATACTAAATGGATAGATAACAAATTGTTGTAGTAAAATTTCAAATTGATCAATTCTCATTATCTGGCTTACAAGCATCAATAGTTATATAAAAATGTTCGTTCATTTGTAAATTGACGTTAGGGGTGGGTTCAAAAAACTGAAAACCAAACCGAACCGAAACCGAAAAAACCGAACTAAACGAAAAATTCGAACCGAATTGAAAAAACCGAACCAAACTGAATTCTTTTGGTTCAGTTCGGTTTTAGTGGTCTAGAAACCGAACCAAACCGAATTAATTAAATTAATATTTTTTATTTTTATTTATTTAATTATTTGCTTTGGGTATTATTTTTTAAACCCAATTGTAAGCCCAATGTCTTGCCCAAAATCAAAAATTCCGAATGCATCTACTACTTTTCCTATAACTACAAGGAAGAAGTCGTATAAAAAAGCAGGACCTATAATAGTCATACCAAAATGGTGCTAACTCCTGACACGGTATTGTTAGTTCCTTATTCTTGTTTAATCTGGCTTCTTGCTTCAAGTATTTGTATGCTTATTCAGTACTTCATTGATTATTGTTATATGCAGTGATCAGGTATTGGTTTTGATCAAGTGTTTTCCCTTTTGATATTACTTCTGCCGACTAAATAGTAAATTACATTACTAAATGAACGATAATACATACAAAGAGAGTATAATCGATATATGATCCTCGTTGGTTCAAAGTGGGTTATAGTATGACAATGCTCTTATTGTACGTACTATCGTGATAAAATAATTTAGCTCATGTCCCCCAACCTATACCAGCTCTTTATATTATTCATAGTTAAGAGTTGAGGTGTGAAGAAAATGGTAGAAAATTTTACTTTTCTAAAAATAAATCTATTTACAGTTAAACTTTAAACCTAAAATATTAAAAAAAACCTTTATGTTATAATTCTAGTTGAAATTTTATTTTCATTCTCTTGGAATCTAGTAGGAATATTTATGTTATGATTGTGTTGGAGATGTTAAAATTTAAGATTTCAATTTTTTTTCATTTTTTGAAAAAAAAAAAAAAAAACCTAAACCGAACCGAAAAAAAAACCAAAAAAAAAATGAACCGAACCGAAATTTCGATTTGGTTTCGGTTTTGGCAAAAAACCGAACCCAACCCTAATTGACACTACCATAATGTGCTTCACCCATATCTGTCATCTCAAAATGGGATGACAACCATGCTTTCATGGTTTCTATGGAGGTTTTGTCATTTCTCACTATTAAGATGTCGTCAACATACCGAAAATGTATGAGAATACTTTTCCCATATTTCTTAAAATGCACATACTGGTATTCCTCAATCATCTCAAAACCAAATGAAGTGATTGAATTATGGAATCTAATGTTCCACTGTTTAGACGTTTGCTTGACGCCATATATGGAACGTTTTAGGCGGCAAACTTTGAGCTCTTGTCCCTTGGCCTCAAAGCCTAGAGGTTGATCCATATCTCCTCGTCTAGTTCTCCATTGAGAAATGTTGTCTTAACATCCATTTGGTAAAGTTCCAAATCTAGTTGAGCAACAATAGCTAAAATGAGGCGAATAGAGACAAACCTCACCACAGGGGATAATTTCTCTTCATAGTCTATACCTAATTGCTAAGTGTATCCTTTTGCCACAAGGTGTGCCTTATATTTGTCAATTAAATCATCCGCCTTGCGTTTGATTTTTAAAACCCACTTGTTTCCAATGGTTTTATGCCCAGGTGGAAGGTCAACTAACTCCCAAACAATATTTTTTTTCCATGGAGCTTATCTCTTCCCCCATTGCAGATATCCACTTTTCATTGGTTGTTGAAGACAACGCTTCTTTGTAAGAGGAAGATGACCTTCCTTTGAAGGTATGCAAATGTAGGCCTCCCAATCAACCTCAAAATGACGTTTGGGAATGTGGCCTCTCTTGCTTCTTCGAACTGTGTGACCTTGAATTTCAAAGGGTACGCTTCATCATTTAGCGTATCCTCTTGAGTGTTTATGGATACATTACTCCCATTGGGTTGTGTACTCCCACTCGAATCAAGTCTTCCAACATCATACTTAGCAACCATCGGATTGGAAATTATTCCCCTCCTTCGCATGAAGATGTTACGAGTTCTTCATCTTTCTCCAACTCATGGAGATCAAGGTTTTTGACAGTATCGCCAAATTTTGGGAAGTCATTCTCTATGAATTCCACATCACGTGAATCAATTTCGGTTTTCCCTCCATCTGGATGTTCACCATACATCGAATAACCTTTTGAGTTTTCACAATGTCTTATAAAGATATGTTTATTTGCTCCAGGACCTAACTTTCTAAATTTATGTGATTGATTATGAACAAATCTAGCATAACCCCAAGGACGCAAATTACCTAGATTGGGTTTTACATCATTCCAAAGTTCGTATGGGGTTGAGGGCACCATCTTTGAAAGCACACGGTTAAGTATATACTTCGCAGTCAATAATGCATCAGCCTAGAAAGATATGGGGAGATTTGCCTGCACCATTATAAACCTGACCATGTCTAATAAAGTTATGTTTCTCCTTTCAGCAACACTATTTTGTTGTGGTGTGTAAGGAACATAAAATTGTCTGTGTATCCCCTTACTTTCACAAAAAACCTTGAATTTGTAAGACAAATACTTGCATCCACGATCAGTGTGAAGAGCTTTTATAGTCTTCCCTTTGTTATTCTTAACCTCAGTTACGAAGCATTTGAAACAATCTAAAGCTTCATAGCGATGAGCGATCACGTACACATAACCATATCGCGTGTAATCGTCAATCAAAGTCATAAAATAAAAGGCGCCATGACGGGCCTTCACACTTATTTGTCCATAGATGTCAAAGTGGATTAACTCTAACGGTTGAGTAGCTCGAACAGCCTTTCCAAAAGGCTTTCTAACTGTTTTGCCAGCTAAACAAGGCTCACATATAGGCAGATTAACATTAATGAGTGACCCCAACAAGCCTTCTCTAACTAACCTTGTCATTCTATTTTGCCCTGTATGCCTTAGTCTAGCATGCCAAGTTTCATAATTAAAATGTTTAATAATAGTTATTAAAGAAGTAGAAGAACAAGAATCAATCAAATCCAAGCAAACAAAATTGTTCTTTATTAAACCATATCCAATTTCAACTTGATCCAAATAGATCATAAGTCTAGACGGGCTTAAGTAAAAACAATATCCTTCATATAAAAGTGCAGTAACTGAAAGTAAATTAAATTGCATTCTAGGGGCGTGTAAGACATCATGCAAACGTAGTTGACACCCAATGCTTAGTTGAAGTCGATACGAACCAACTCCCAAAGCTTTTGTACAACTTCCTTCACCCACGTACACCAGTGTGACTTTGATGGAAAGCGTTGATAATTTTCGAACCCCTTTTTATCTTGTGTCACATGTTTGGTTGCTTTTGTGTCTACAATCCAATTTTCGGACGTGTGAGCAACATGTATATGCAAACATACACAAACAATGACAAATTTAGGGTTAGGGATTACCTTTCTATTCAGCTCAGTGCAATTATGAGCAAAGTGTCCTTTCTTTTTACAGTTAAAGCACGTTGACTTGGATTCGTCTTTCTTGGCACGTTTACCTCTGTGGGCCTTGATCTTATTAGAATTAGAAGCAAGCTTTGCATCATTTTTCTTAGACTTGGTTGTACCCTTTCCTTTGAAATGGTTACCCTTTTTGGACCCACCTTGAGTCAAAAGGGCAGTACTCTAGGTCGCCACTTGGCGCTCACCTTCTAGTTTAACATGACGCGAGATGTCATGAAAGTTCTTAATCTAATCATTGTGCATCATGATCTATTTAAGGGCATCCCACAAGTCTGAGAGGGACTTAATCACAGCTTGGACTTGCTGTTCATTGGTGAAGATACTCCCAGTAGCCTTCAAATCTTGTATCATGCTAGATATTTTCCTAAGATGTTCAGATACATAGTGCTTAGGATCCACCCTGTAAACCTCAAACTTCAACACTAGACTTCTTACCTAGTAGTTGAGGTTCCACCAAAAGCAAATTTCAGCTGGTCCTATATCTCCTTGGTGGTCGAGTACCCTTAATACTCACCAATAAGATCATCATGCATGCTGCTTAACATAGTAAAGCGTGCATTTCTATCTTTCTTGAACCAAGATTCATAAGACCTTACTCTAGCCGTATGTTGAGCCGCAATGGTTCCATCTCTCTCAAGATCAGCAACAACATTTTTGGAAGTCATTTCTTTCTACAAGGGTGAAATAATTTTGACATTAGTAATTACACATCTTACATTTATTTATTTCAAAAAACTCATTAGAAAATATTTCATTGTTTCTCCTAGGTTGAAATTGAAAAATCCGCTAAGTCGCTTGTAATTACCATTCAATTCTAAGAGTCAAGATCATATTTTCTAATTATTTTCAATATATCTCATTTAAACATTATTATGTTTTAAGCTTATCCAGTTTTCATGCAACATCCAATTGAGTGCACAACGATTAGGGTTTATAGACAATGGGCTCGATATGTAGGCCTCCGTAAGTGCTGCCAGGTCAAATCTGGGAGGGCTGGCAGTGCGAAGCTTTTAAAAACCGAACCTCTTTGACATCCAAAGTGTCTCCTTAAAGATTTTTCCTAGACACCACACCAAATAAAAGGTGCCATTAGTGAACCCTAGTCTAATTTCTTTATTTTTAATTAATTAGGTAATTTTTTTAAATATTCTCCTAAAGAATAGTCCTTTCTAATTTAAAATGCTCAATCAACATGAGCAAATTTGATGGACATTATCTCCTTTTGATTTTCCTAAAATCTTGGCATGTGTTGGATATTTTTTAAAGGTTAATTAAGAACGTTTCCTTAATTTTAGTAAATTAAAAATGTCCCTAATACTAAACCTAAATATACACTTACATAGGTTAGTGAACCAAAATGATTCACTCGCCAATCGTGTCCCAAAAACACGACCCACGCACCACCCAAAGCGGCACTGCAAAATTATTTAATTAAATTTTTTTAATAATTAATTTAATATTGCACGAACCCATTCACCATGGATGGCACATGACACACACGCGCCACCTTCTGGCAGTCTGATGCAGTTCTTTTGACCTCCGTTGGATAGAACTCTCCGAGATGAATCCAACAATGTAGCTAACATCCATGAAAGCCTAGCGTTGTAATCGTACTTGCTTAGGCTGAGAGTGGCAGAGATGAACCACTGTTCCTCATCTTCTTCTTCTTCTTCAAAAAAAAAAAAAAAAAAAAAAAAAAAACCGAAATTTCTAGATTTTTCACTCTCACGAGGCTTGATTATAGAGGCCATAACTTAGTGAAAAAGCATCTGTTTTACTCGTGTTTTGGCGAATTCCAAAAACAACTCTAACTGCACAAAAAAAGGTTTGCAAAAACCTTGAAAAAATTCGTTTTTATGCTATTACGAAACTAGGGTTTCAATTATCTCTCTAACCACTTGGTTTTTCTTTACCAATTTTTAAATATTGTCTCATATGAATATAAAGAACATAACCCAAGCATTAGAACCTAGAAAAAATAAGCATGGCAAAAACGAAAATTTTTAAAGACAAGCATTCATGGCATATTCATATATATATATATATATATATATATATTCGAAAGGACGTGTGTACCTTTTATGCGGAAACTTGAATCTCAACACACTCCTACAAACACGAACAACTGCTCTGACCTTCCGTGCACATCTAGAACCTCGTTGGTCGTCGGGTTGGCTATGGTGTCAAGTTGCCCCTTGGTTTTCACCTCCCAAGACCTAAAGTTGATGGTGATAGCTCTAAAGACCTAACTAGAATATTTGAACTGGGGAAAAACTTGTGTTTCTTGTATTTTCTCTCTTCCCCAAAGCCTCCTTATATAGTGGTTGAGAAGAGTGTACAAAAACTGAAAAGCACATGAAAAATCTCAAGTATATTCTAATATGAATATCTCTTGATTTTTCATCTAATTATCACATAGATAATTAGGAGGTTAATATCCTCATGTGGGTGGAATATCCTTTGACATTTATTTATCCCATAAGATAAATCCTACACTTCTGTGCGCTCTCTGTAATTTATACGCCATGTTATTGAACTGTATAACATGTATCTGCCCTCCATATTTTTTACGGCTTGGGATTCTTCCTTTGTCAGGCTCATCCTGGCGCTGCAAGGCAGAACGGCGGTCTGATTCAAGGAGGCAGTTTGTTGGCTCGGCATCCAGGCCCGGTCCACAAGGTTTTGGAGGCCGGAACTGAGCGAGCATAGCAAAGGAGAGTTCAGGTCAAGAAGATGCGTGCTCTTGATAATTTACACGATTAGTCAGACATGTTTGCGTAGAACTGCAAAAGTTATTCTTTATGATTGCTGTACGTTGTGAGAGTTGATGTTCCTGCACTAGGCTATGTAATGTATCAAGCTCATTGTATATTTAATTTTCTGTAACGCAATCTATTTTTGTATTAATGAGAAATTCATGCATCAATGCGCGTGTGGGTGTAATATTTATGATTAGTGATGCTATTAACGTATGTGGAGTCCGCAATACATTCAATAGTCAGATTTCGTTCATGCCCCTGGTGATTCCCGGTGTCTTGGAGGGCCAGGTGACATATGTATATTATCAGTGGAAATTCTAGAATCTACTCTCTTTCCATTCAAGCTGTGAGAATCCGAATGCCCGAATCTACTTGTGTGTGTCTTGGACGGACAGGTGATGTACGTACTCTCTAACCAAGAATCTTAGTCCTTTCACCCTCTAAATACGGATAGGCCTAGAAAGAGTCACGGAGGTTTTGTCGGACAATTTAGGACAAAACAAGAAAGTAGGCTGGTTAACCTAAAAGACCCAGAAAAACATGACAAACCGTTACAGATCAACCTAAAGAACTCAAGCGTGGTCTTCAATAAAAAAGGAGCTGACACGTGTCGCTGCCTCACCTTTTCTCTCCTCCCCTTTCTACGGCCATAGACACAAAGAAAGAAATCAGTAACTTGAAAGGAAGAACAAACTCCTTTTCTTTTGGACAGAAAATGGCGGATTCGACATTTCCAGCAGCTAGTGTAGATGCAGAATTGAATCCAGGCAAAAACAAGAACTTTGAGGAAGACAGTGGATCATCTCTAGTAACTACCTCCAAGGAAATTAAGGTGATATTTTTTCCTTAACGTCTGAATATTTGTTTTCCCAAATACTCGTATAGCCCCATACTTTTAATCAAAAATAGAACTCGAGAATACTATGACATAATAGAGGGTGCACAAACATGGTTTATATTTGATTTTTTTTTGTCTTCTTAGTTTTATTTTAATTAAAAGTTTGTAATCAGCTCTATTTGTGCATATACAATCATATTGAGCACATAATGGTTTCCGCAATCATGTTTTGTAGGCTGCATTCCTCACCTTACTATGATGCTATTTATATAATTGAATACAAAGTTACACTTTGCTGTCGATGATGTAGCCAATTTTGGGCATCGGAAGTCCTCTGATTGTATTTGGTTAGATGTAGTTATTGAATGTATTTAGCTTAGTTTTTTTTTTTTTTTTTTTTTTTTTTTTTTGGTTAAAAAAAAACATGAAAATAGGGAGAGGAGTGCAAGTTTACAAAGTAGGAATGTGAAAATCGTTTTATCGAAAAGTGATTAGTAAGCGATGGGGTTGAAGGTTGAAACCCACGATCATCTATAACCAAAGCTCTAATACCGTATTAGATAACCATTGACTCTTACATGTCAAGTCATTTGTTAGTGAACCTCAGGACCTGTTAATAACATATTTCAAGATAACACAAACACTTCTAGCAATGAAATCTCATAAAAAACTTCGGAAACCTTGTTTTTCTTTTGTGCCTCTCATCTATGTACCAGTGTAGTCTTGTGAATAACGTTGCACTTTTTATTTTCAAGGACAAAGTGGAGGCTGAAGAGAGGAAGCAGCAGAAGAAGGAGAAGAAAGATGCAGCGCAGATGCTCAAGAAAAGCATTATAATCTCGGCTATGGTTGTGGCTGTGGCCGGGGTGATATTTGCGCTAACCAAGAAATCGAGAGAGAAATGAACTTCGAAGCCTGGGAGATATAGAAGCAATGGCAAAATTTTGCAGCTCCCTTCCGTTGCTTCTTTTGTTCTTAGTGTTGTTATTTTCGAATGAAGGAACTTGCATGGTGGCCATATGGACATACACTACTTTTCGGTTAATTTGATGTAGATTTGGTAGTTCTCTGTCAACTATTTGTATGAATTATGTAAGGAAACATGTAATCTAATACAACGTTCCTCAATTTTGTTGTTTTTTTTTTCCTAAGAATATTGTATAAAATTCACATTAAATTTCTTTTATTGTCGCTGATGCATCAACAAACATCCATTTGCAAGGTTACATTGATCCATTTTTATAGATTTGGAGTGAATATAGCTACTTGGTGTAGATCGCAGGTTCAATTGCGGGCTCAAGTTTTGTGGATAGTAAGTTCAATACTTAATTATCGTCGATACTCTCAATATTTTTGCATCACAGAATACCTACTTGTCTAAAAATATTATTGAAAGGATAGTAGAGAGTACATTTTGGCTAGAGCAAGTGACATCTTTCACGGCACTAGAAGTCTAATAAAAGTGGAGAACAACTTGGGAAACCCATTTATGTCTTGACCTAAAGTTCAAGCATTGTTCTGATAGTACTTTGGTCCACTAGTTAGACTGTGTTACCTTTAAGTATACCTATGATCTTCAATACGTTAGATGCAAATGAGACATTTGAAGAGGTTGTGGAACTCAAAGTTCCATATCTGAGTTCAACTTTGCACTTTGTTGTACTTAGCTCATTGCATTAGACATGACATCTCCTTCACTGTTGATCTATTGGTAAAGATACAACAATGCACTTGTTGAATTATCAGAGAGACGGGCCATTTGGCCCACTTCCAACAACATCGATATTGTCCCTAACTTGGTAATTACCACCTGCACAATCCGTGAGGTGTGGGGTTTTATCACAAAAGGCCTCGGTGTTAGTTGGAGCGGGCTTAGGATATTTAAACTCTTCTTTTCTCATTGATACGGTTGATGTGGGACATTTCAACACGCCCCTCATGTGGAACCCAATTAGTGGGTCATACGTGGGAGATCCACACATCGATAACCACGTGGAGCCAAAAGGACTCACCCTACACGGGGGACCAAGGGACCCACCATCATCACGCTGGGCCAAGAGGGCCCACCCATCACGTGGCTGTACAGTACAGTACGGGTCCGCTCCCTGACTCTGATACCATGTTGAATTATCAGAGAGACGGGTTATACGGCCCACTTCCAACAACATCAATATTTTCCCTAACTTGATAATTACCACTTGCATAATCTGTCAAGTGTGGGATTATATCATAAAAGGCCTCGATGTTAGTTTGAGTAGGGTTACGATATTTAAACTCTTCTTTTCTCATTGATACGATCGATGTGGGACATTTCAACAACACCTACATGCAGCCACTGAATTGACATTAAAAACATTTTTTTCGCTACCCTAAAGGTACTATGGATTTGTGCTTATCCTTATGCATTCTGAGTGGATCCAACCTTCCTGATCCTCATAATGATGCTTGCCTTGTTTGTTATGTTGACACATATTACTTATCAAACACGCATAAGGCATGTCCCAAATGGTTATATCTTTACTGTTAGAGATACCACAATATCTTTGAGTCCATAATATAGAGCTTAGTTGCGAAATCTTCAAATCGTTCCAAAGGCTCACCACACATCACTACCACCGTGAGACATGGTTGAGAACTCTTGTTGAGTATATTCGAAGTACCTCTTGTTTTCATCTATTGTTGAGTACCAACGACGATCTATGAAGACTATGCCGTATGTATTGACTAGACCAAGACATGATAAATCAACGAAGTCAACGCTAAGTATATTGCGTTTACATCACATCAGCAAAGCATTAGGAGATTGAAGCAATCTGCTCCTGCAGAACCTTGCCGACCTCTTTACGACGTCACTACCGAAGTCTACCTTCCAGAAGCCTGTCTGAGAAATTGGTACACATAACTATCTCTTTTGCAATGCTTGTAGTTCTCATTAGGAAGTTCTATCAAACTCAAGGGGAGTATCTAGAAGTATACTTACTTGATCTTAATGTATTCTTTTTCACGATTATGAGCATTTTTCTCACTGGGGTTTTTGCTACCTAACTAGGTTTTAACAAGGTACCCATTCTGAGCTGCTCATACCCATGTAAGCTTTTCTACTTGCGTCTGAAAGATGTATGGTTTGACTTAATGCAAACTTCTCATGTATCTCCTTAGACTATGGGCTTTTCTCCCATACTGGGTGTTGAGCAAAAATTGTACATAATATGTAAACAAATAATTCCCTCGATACAATTTCACCCTTGTTCATTTTTTCGAAGAGGGTTTTATTAGTTTGAGTTCGACCCATTCTAGGCTACGCGCCTATTAATTACAACCTTTCTTTTGGGAAAGGAATACCCTTTGATTCTAATATGAATAAATCGTAACTTGAGGATTTGGGTGTTTATATGATTTTGTGACTGCATCTAGGTAGAGCCCTAGATTGCCTACGTACCCTCGTTGAGGGATCAAGTCACTCGTAGTTCCTTGTACGCTTGATAGTTGTTTGGATTTGATGCCTTGTGCAGTTTTAGCTCATGCAGGTGAGGACTTTGCACCATTGGAGCGTTTAATGCCTTGTACAGTTTAGGCTCTTGCAGGCGAGGACTTTAAGCCATTGAAGTTTTTAATGCCTTGTGCAGTTTTAGCTCATGCTGGTGAGGAGCAAAATGTAGCTTTGTGCCATTTAAGTCTTATTACGGCTTCATGCCTTCTGATACTTGACACAGCTTCATGCCATTTGAGTCTTGTTGCAGCTTCATGCCGTTTGATGCGGCTTCGTACCACTTGAATGTTGGCTTTGTGCAACTTGAAATTTGGAGCGCGGCCTTATGCCATTTGAATTTGGAATTTGATACGGCTTTGTGCCAGTTGATAATTAATGTGGCTTCGTGCCATTTGACTACTTCAAGAATTTAATAGGAACTTGATCCATTTTGACATAGTGCAAATCCACTAATTTAAGGTGATGCGTCCGTCGAGTTTTATACTTTGAGATGGCTTGTGTCCGCGGTGTTTGAAATGGTGGGCCCACGGGCTTAGCTTCCATTAGCTTACTGAAAAGCTTCCCTTAAATTTTAATCCTTAATAAATTAGGACTTCATCTTTGCTTGACTTTTCCACACGGTTTCATAGCAATTCCATCCTATTTGAAATAGGATTTTGTACGAATGAAAGTCGGCCTCCCTTTTTTTATTATTGTGAAAAAAAAAGACTTATGGCACTTTTCTTTTCCTTCACTTCTGAACTCTTTCCTTTACTTTTGACTTGCAACTTCTATCATTTTGTCTCCACATTTACTTATTTCATGCACCATATTCAATCAATGGGGCCATGCTCATAATGTCCACGTGAGTGGTATTCCACAAGAGGCAAATTTTGTTTTGTACTCTTGTCATTTTGTCTTCATGCTTTGATTGAATGCAAAATTTACAAAGACCATAATTAGTTGGGAAGCGGTTGCCTTCTTTTGTTCTTCACGTGAGCAAATTTCCACGTGATGTGTAGATCCCTTATTGACTTTAAAACC